TTGTCATTGGAATTGGGACTTAGAATTTGGGTCTCCCATACCCTAAGTCAGTGGTTCTAAAAGAGGAGTAAAAGTACCTTTGGGGGTATGCAGAGGTCTTCCAGGGGGTACATCAGCTCATCTAGATATTTGCCTAGTTTTACAACAGGCAACATAAAAAGCACTAGCAAAGTTAATGCAAACTAAAATTTTATATAGACAATGACTTGTTTATACTACTTTATAATACTATACACTGAAATGTAAGTACAATATTTATATTCCAATTGATTTATTTTATAATGACATGAGAAAGTAAGCAATTTTTCAGTACTAGCGTGCTGTGACACTTTTCTATTTTAATGTCTCATTTTTTGTAAGCAAGTAGTTTTTAAGGGAGGTGTAATTTGGCGGTAAACAAGACAAATCAGACTCCAGAAAGGGCTACAGTCATCTGGAAAGGTTGAGAGCCATTGTCCTAAGTGAACATCCTAACCACCAGCCTATAGAGTTTGCCCCTCTCCCAATGAATTAATTGTCATTCATAGTGGCAATTCAGAGAGTCATTCGTAATGCTAAAAATCTATTTGCCAAAAATCTTTTGCCCAACTCTAATTATAAATATCCCTTTTCCTAACACAAGAAATACAATCCTAGGACATATTTATTTCAGGAGCCACATGGCACATGCAAGAAAATCAAACATTTTAGCAAATGTCTTCTCGTGATACTGAGAGATGTCATTGAAAATGAAAAACAGACCCTAGCACAAAGGAGTCTGGTCTCTGACTGGGGCTTCTAGGTGCTGCTGCAATACAAATAAAAACAATAATAATTAATCCACATGAATATTCATTTGAATAGTCATATTGACTTATATAGGACTAGTTAGCAAAGGAGAATTATTCTTAGAAATGTAAGGCTGGAAGGAACCTTGAGAAGCCATCTAGTTTTTTTCCTTCTGTGCTAAGGATTAAGTATACTAAGAACATCCGCTCTTAAAAACCTCCAATGGTGGGGATTCACATGCATGTATGTTTACAGGATTGGATTCCAAAGGGTTAACATTTATATTTCTTGGTGTTATCTTGAATTTGGCACATTACTCTATAAGTCTCTCTCTCACTATTAAAAATGTCGCCAATTTATGTATTGTTCTCCTTTTGTATTAATAGCTCATACTACTACTACAACATGGTGGCCTTCAGGTAATTCATAATTATTTTACTTCTTTATTTCTATGTTGTATTCTTCTCAATTATCTCATTATAATACAAAATAATTCCCATATAAATGGCACCAGATTCCTTGGATAGGAAAATAAGTATGGCACGGTGATAAACCTTTGTATTTTTTGCAGGCTGTCTTCAGGCTGACGGCAATACATTTTTTTGAATATCAACTTTTTCTTTCATTTGGCAGCTAGCACTTCTAAATAGGGATACAGTAGTACTGTAATAGTTTTTTTAGGTATTTATACATTAAAGTAAGCACTTAGGCCCCAATCCTGCAAACACATATGTATTGCTTAACTTGGCTGACATGACTGGTCCCAATGGCCTCAGTGAAACTATTCCTGTCAGCAGAATTAAGCATGTGTGCATATGTTTGCAGAAACTGGGATCTACAGCCTGCTGGTACTGGAGTACATTTGATATGGGAATTGATGAGACAATAAACATGGAACAGGGTGGAATCACTTTTTAGAGCAATGCTGTACTATAAGAGAAATAAACTATGAGGCCAGTGAGCTTACTAACTGAACTCCATCCAGCTTTTTCTCTTGCTCACCAATTTTTTTTTAAATTACTACTTTCCCTCTCTGTCTCTCATTTTCTCCATCTATACACTGAGGATAATAATACTTACCTTTTTGGTAACTTGCTTTGAGAGCTATTGATGAAAAAGGCTATTGAAGAGCTTGGTGGTTTGCATGACAGAAGTAACTTGATCTGCACCTTCAAATGCTTGTGATCAAAAGATGCATCAATTGCAGTGAAAACTTTCTATGAATCATATTGGTCAAAAAGTGCATGGATTGGAGTGAGGTCAAAGGTTCCACCCCTCTCCTTCACTCAGAAGTTAATGATTTAAGTGTGCTATACTGCTTTCAGGAACCCATTGTGTCTTTGCTACCCTACTCGTTGCTCTTTGGCACTAAGTTAATTACAATTACACTGTTTTCTATATATTTTTGGTAAAATATTACGATGCCAAAAACAAAAAAATCACTAACCCTGTCCTTCTCTTTCTCTTTTCCAATGTTTGCCAATCCAATAAGCATTACTACTCTTGGGGTACCAGGTTCAGGAGTCAGTTCACAACTAAATTATACCACACAGCAGGTGTAAAGAGAGATGTTAAAGCCTCCTGCACTATGCATTCTACCCAGCTGGTCAAAGGGGAGTGGCTGTGAGAGATACCAGCAAAAGGGTCAGGGACAAGTGAAAGAAAGAAATGACTGAATTGATGGGCATTATGTACGTTGAGGATTTTGAGGGCCCCCTACTGATTAAAAATAGATTACAAAATTTTAAAGTACCCTCACAGTTTCTACAAAGCTGCACGACTCTTGGATCAGATTTTTGAAGGCTGATTGTTATTCTAGCAAAATAATAAATTGACAATAAACTATTTTCCAGAAATCTTTTGCCCATCTCTAATTAGAAATAGGCCTCTTCTTAACAAAAGAAATATATTTCTAGGATGAATTTCTTGCAGCAGCCAACTGACACATGAAAGAAAATCAGACATTTTAGCCAACATCTTCTCATGGTACTGAGAGATGTCATTTAAAATATTAAACAGCCCCTAGCACAAAGGAGTCCTGGTCTAAGAATGGGGGTCCTAGGTGCTACAGCAATACAAAAAAACCCCAGTAATTATTAATCCACATGAATATTCATTTGAAATAGCCATCTTGACTTAAATGGAACTATTCAGGAGAGGAGAGTTATTCTTGGAAGTGTAGGGCTGGAGGGGACCTCGAGAGTTCCTCTAGTCTATACCCTCTGCGCTAAGGCAAGATTAAGTATACCTAGACCACCCTTGAGACATGTTCATCTAATCTGTTCTTCAAAGCCTCCAATTATGTGGATTCACATGCATTCATCTTTACAGGATTGGGTACTAAAGGAGTAACCATCATATTTCCATGTTTTCTCCTTCCTCATCTTTTAAATAAGTATATAATTCTTTGTACCTGTACATAAAGCAGTCCGATATTTAAAAATGAAAAGCACGGTGCAAGTGTGAAGTATAGTTACTAAAACATATTAAATTTGCTTCCTGTTCACAAAATGAAAATTTCTTCAGATATATTTGTTTAGTAAGGTTTTAATTAGAGCTAATGCAAATAGTGAAGGGGAAATTGATTTTTCTCTCCCATTCCTCTCCCTTGTTTTCTAATTGCTCATAATTTTCTCAGACAAATTCTTTTTGGTCTGAATCCTCAAAGCAATTGTGTTGTGTGGAAAGTTTTGAGTAAAATATGTGCAGCCATTTTTGAGTTATATGAGAAAGGGGGGTTAAAAATTCTTGGTGTTCCTATTGACATCTTGCTGGGAGTAGAAATTTCAGTCATGGTTTGGTTTGCAGGTCTTATTGGCTGGGTCTTCACACCAGTTTTCTAGTGTTCTTAACCTGTGTTAGCTAACCCAAGGTAAAATCCTAGTTTGATGTTTTGACACGAGTGAGCAGTTTGAGTTAAATCATAGGCTGCCCATGGTCTATAACTTGACCTGCTAACTCATGTGAAAACTTCCAACTGCCTTGTCTTCATTTGGATTTAATCTCAAATGAGCTCAAATTAAGAACACACCTATCTTCCTAGTAAAGACCAGTTCTGCTACCCTTACTCACATGGAGAAGTACCTTACTGCCATACTCTGAAAAAAAGAGCCAATGATTTTAGAGGACCTTCTGAGTGGGTAACTTCCTACACAACATGAGTAAGAGTTTAAGAATTGGGCCCAGAAGAAGGAAAAATAATCCTACAAATACTTCTGCACACAAATAAATTGAATCATTCAAGTAGATACCATTGACATCAATGGAACTAGTGGTGTGAATAAAAAGTTACTCATACATGTAGGTTTTTTGTATTTTGTGTTACGCATGACTCTGGCTTTCTGAAGAAAATCTGTCCAGAATTTAAAAAATGTATTAATATTAAAATTAGAACTGGAACAGAACCAAAACCATGTATCCAAATATATTTGACCTTTGGGAACATTTGGATCCAAGTCAAAACTGTGATTTGGGTCCATCTCTAATTTAAAACTGAAACGTTCTTGCATGCATGTTAGAGCCTTTCATATGCAACCTTTCATTATGTGGATAAAATGAAGACGGTCATAATATTTGGTATGGTCTGTTAAGGCTGCCTGAGGGAAGGCCTGCTAAATTAAGGTTGCCTCAACTGATACACCACAATCAAGGCTGTTTCAGTTTTGGACATTTCTGCCCAAAACACATTGCTAAAGATATTAAGCAGGCATAGGTGCAATTCAGGAGACTTCCTTGTTTTCTTTTTCTCTTGTTTTTATTCTTTCTTTCTCCTTTTTTGGTTTTGAGTTTACTTTTCTTCCTTTTACATTTTTAAATATTCAGGGAAATGGGTATTTTATAGATGAAAAATGGGAATTATTAATAAATGCATAAAAGATGGAGATGAAAATGGCCAATTTAAGGTAATTTATATTTATTAAAACAAATCTCAGTACCATTGGAATGTTCTTGTTGTTTGAGAGACATAGAATGGAGAGTTAATTTCTCCCAGGCATTTCTTTGTCAACGATAAAGTTTGTGATAGAGAGATATAATCCGTTGTATTTTCTCAATTATCAAGAGAGAAGGACCCCAGTTCTTCCTCTGCAGGACACAAGTATATTTCATTAACTGTAATGGAAATTAGGGCTATCCCCTGTGGTAGGAAAATCAGATTCCAATAACATGTATGAAAGCATGCCAACATGAAACACTTTGTGAATGCTCATCGAGATGTTTTCTGTCTTTCAAAGGTGTTTTTGATCTCAGACTGGTGAATGGCCAGAACAGATGTGAGGGCCGTGTCGAAATTTATGCCAGTGGAACCTGGGGGACAGTGTGTGATGATTTATGGGACATAAACGATGCTCAAGTTGTATGCAGGCAGCTTGGATGTGGATGGGCCATTTCTGCACCAGGAAGTGCCCGATTTGGTCAAGGCAGAGGAAATATTTTCCTGGATGATGTGCAGTGCAGAGGAAATGAACACTTTGTCTGGCAATGTCAACACAGAGGGTGGGGCATACATAACTGTGGCCACAGTGAAGATGCCGGTGTCATTTGTTCAGGTACTGTCTTTTCTCTTATAACTATTTTAGTTAAGAATCAGAGAGCAGGATCTTTTATAAATGTGGAATTCTTGCCATTGGCAATTTCTTTGTTTTTTTACTAATAGCTTATGACAAAAAGTATGTTAAGAGACTATCACACTCTGAGGTGCAATCCAGACCAGGGAGGGGTTGTGTTAGCACCTGCCCTGCAACTTGGGGTGCCGCACAATGCTTTGCTGATGTAGCTCCAGCAGCTCTGACCCCAGCAGCCTGTCAGCGACACTCCAGTCACACTCTGGCTTCCAGCAGCCTTGATGACTACTTCCAGGGTGACCCCAATGCACTTCCAGTCCCAGATTTCCCCAAAAAACATGTTTTCGGCACTGCCCAGTCAGAGGTGAAAGTAAGCTGGTACAAGCCAGTACGGCTTACTGGTAAGAAAGTGGCCGAAGCATTCAATACAAATGGGTAAAATAGGCTAGGTTTATCAGTAGTAATAACAAAAAAAATCAGATTTATCACTTGAATTAAATATATTTTACATTCTCTAGAAACAAAATGCTCCCCTTCAGTTTTCAGTTGTTACTTCTTGTCAGGTGGAAGATGTTCATGTGATTCCAAATGTTAGCTTTTGAGTGCCATCAGGGTAACCGCTTGCTTTTTATTGGTCAAGTCTCTCGTGTCAGGCGTGCAATTTACAGTAGAAAGTAAGTAGGGAAAAAATGCCGCCTAAGAAGATACACATTCAGCAGACCCGAAAGGATATGTTTAAACGTAAAAGTGAGGAAATGGGGGATTGTCAGTCAAAAAGAACAGCAACAAATGAAGAAGCTGAAAGTCATCCACAAAAGGGTATGTCTACACAGTCGACGTTAAAGTGTTGCCGCGGCAGCGCTTTAATGTGGCTGTGTAGTCGCAGCTCCAGCACCAGGAGAGAGCTCTCCCAGCGCTGTAATAAAACCACCTCAGCTAGGGGAATAGCTACCAGCATTGAGAGCGTGGAACTTTACTGCACTGAAACTTGCATTGCTCGGGGGGACAGGGGGGGGGGCGGTGTTTTTTCACACCCTTATTTTAGAATAAAACTAGTATACAGCTACTGTATCTAGATTTGGTTCAAGGTAAATGTCTTACCACATGTTCCCAGCAAAATAGCTGACCAATTTCTCAAGTCGGCGAGCTGACCTCAAAGTCCAAAGGGCTGGTTCCTTTGTCCTCTTAGGTGAAAGAGCAAGTGAGAGAGATAGAGATGGTGTTTTTGCCCCTCACTTTTCTAATTCAGTCACCCTTGGAATAGATTTTCCTGAGGGTTACCCTTACATAAAGTTCCGTCCGGCTGTGAGGATGGAGGCATGGAGTCTCATGGTGAAAGTGGTTCCATGTTGTTGTTTGTTAAAATCCAAATCCATCAATTCCTGCCCACCTTAGCTGCTGCAGAATGGTCACTTGACAGGTGATTTCAAGTTAACTTTGATGACACATAGCAAGAGGCATTAGCTTGGCCTTCGTCTTCGGAAAACTGGTTTACCACTTCCCCAGACTTATCTGGTCAACACATTTCAGATAACTTTACATATAACGTTGCTACACAGATTTCACCATGATATTATTGACCAGGAAGTTGAGTTTTCAGATGATACCTCGCAAGGTATCTATTGTACAAGGATTATTACAGTGGTGTGTAGGGTGTGACTACCGGGGTGTATTTGGTCACAAGTACATTAATATAATACTGTACTCTTTGCAGTAGAGACTTCTGCTGGAGCTGATTTAAAAAAATTTCTGCAAAGGTTAAATAGTATTAGGAAATCACCTTCATGTTTAACATGTAGTTGTGTTTTGAAAAATGACTGTGCAATGGCACTCCTAACTCAAAACATCCATTGCCTGTTTGTTCAGTCAGATGTGTTGACATTAGTGACAAAAATAAATGTTTACTGCATTTTAGTCCTGTTAACCCTTCATCATCAAGAGATTTGTTTACTAAATTCCTTACAAGTGTATTTGTGCAACACCAGAGAAGCCAATTAGATTGCACAGCTGGTACGGAGGGTGTAATTTGCTCTGCAGCATCTTTATTACTGATGGTGATAAAACGAGGGTGAGAGAGAGAAAGAAAAGGGTTTAGAACTCAGAACCCAGAGTGGACATGCATGACTGACAATCAGGAAAAAAATAAAAACCAGCACTGGTTTACTTCTCAACTTTTCAGAGCAGAGGAGTACTCTAAGAGAAATAAGCTGGGGCCAGTGAGTTTACTAATTAAACTGCATTCAGCTTTTTCTCTTGCTCACCAAAAATTTGTAAAAATTACTATTTTCCCTCTCTGTCCCTCATTTTCCCCATCCTTACAATGGGGATAATAACACTTACTTTTGTTGTAATGTGCTTTGAGATCTATTCATTAAAAGTGCTATAGAAGAGTTAGGTGTTGTTATTATCATTATTATAATTTTCATGAAAGAAGTAACTTGACCTGTACCTTCAAATGCTTGTGATGAAAAGGTATTTTCTATTGCAGTGAAATCTTTCTATGAATCACTTATTGGTTAAAATTGCTACCTTATTTATGTGAATTTGATCTTGGTGGCTTGTTCTTAACTCATTAGAATATAGCATAAATTGCCAGTCAAAATATGCTTGGTGGTGTCAACATCATTAAAGCACCATGCAATTTTCTATCACAGGACTCTTAGTTCAGCGGAATTCAGGACTGGGATAGCCTCGGTGTAGGGAAATAATCACATTGCCTGCTCACACTAAACTTTGCTCAAATCCATTTTTAGGCATCCCTGACTTCAGTGAGCATCAAATAAATAAAATGATTAGTAATCTGAATAAATCCACGTGTATATTTTTGTTTGTATCTTCTATAAAAATGCTCAGCCCTACTTAATATTTGAGAATAACCTGAGCATTATTTAGATTCCCTAACATGGAAGTTATGGAACTAATAGTTAATATCCTTAGACATTTCTGAATATTAAGGAGCTCTCAGAAGACGAACAATTCCATAGGCACCATTCCAGTCAAGCACATGCTTAACTTTAATCACATTTAATCCATTGGTTTCAAGTCAATGGAATGACTTCCTAACTTGTGTTTACACATATGTGTTGATAGGATTGAGGCCTAAGATTGCATTCCTCTCAATACCTAGATTTTAGTGGCTTCATGGTGCTGTACAGCTTTCAGGGACCCCTGTGTCTTTGCTGCCCAATTTGTTGCTCTTTGGCACTATGTTAAGTACAGCTACAACGTTTTCCATTTATTTTGGTAAAACATTGCCATGCCAAAAAATATATATATATAAAAATCACTAACCTCTGTCTTTCTCTTTTATCTTTCAGATCCGACGACACCTGGTAATTATCTGTTTTTAACATTGTTTGTTTTGCTTTATTTTTCTTTCCCAATGCTTCCCAATCCAACAAACAACAGCATTACTGCTCCCAAACAGGGATACCAGATGCAGGAGTTATTGGCCGATATAAGTTGGTGTAAAGAGAGAAGGCAGAGCCTGTTGCACTATGCATTCTATGCAGATACGGTCAGAGGAGAGTGGCTCTCATAGATATCAGAAAAAGAGTCAGGGACAATAGTAGGAAAGAAATGAATGAATTGATGGGCGTTATCTATGCTGAAGAGTTTGAGGGCACCCAATGTTTAAAAATAGACAAGATTTTAAACTACAGTACACTGATAATTTCCGCAAACCTGAGCTACTTGTGGATCAGATTTCTGAAGGCTGATTGTTATTCTAGCAAAGTAAAATGGCACAGCAAGCTCCATATGAAACATTACATGAGACTTCACAACAGAGTAGTTCTTGCAGCTGTAAGCGTCTCTGATCCTTCAGAGTGTAGGATCAAATTACTATGATTGTTTAATAGCCTCTTTGTGCTGGGTACTGTATAAACACACATAAAGAAGCATTTTACCACCAGAAAATATTTTTCTTGGTGTAGGTTTTTGACTATTACAAATAGAGCTGGGCCCAGGTTCAATTTCCTTTCTGCCTTGAGTATCCCATGATTCAGAAGCATGCCCGGGCCACCGAGCTATGGGATGTCCTGATACAGAGTTTTCTCAGTCTCTCCTGTTCCAGCTGTTCTAGTTTGTATAAATAATTAAATAGTCATTGGAGCAGGGACTTTGAATTTGGGTCTCCCATGCCCTAAGTGAATGTCCGAACCTCCAGCCTATAGAGCAGTGATGGGCAACTTTTGCCACGCGGCTCGCCAGGGTAAGCATCCGCAAGTTTGGCTGATCACGGCTCCCATTGGCCGTGGTTTGCCACTCCAGGCCAATAGGGGCTGCGGGAAGCAGCGCGGGCTGAGGGATGTGCTGGCTGCCGCTTCCCGCAGCCCCCATTGGCCTGGAGCGGAGAACCACGGCCAGTGGGAGCTGCGATCGGCCGAACCTGCGGTAATTGTCTCTTTTTAATATTTTTTGTTTAGATATCTTTCTCTTTCCCAGTGTTTGCCAATTCAATAAACAGCAGCATTACTGCTCCTAAACAAGGGTACCAGGGAGTGGTGCTGGAACAACGGGTATAGTGGGGGTGCTGAGAGCCACTGAACCAAACTGTAAACCCTGTATATGATGGAAACCACTTCAAGCCAGGGGCTGCGGCCGCACCCCGACACCTCTAGTTCAGCATCTATAGCTCCAGGTTCAGGAGTCACTGGCAGACCTAAGTTGTACCACACAGTTGGTGTAAACTAAAGAGAGATGATGAAGCCTCTTGCGCTAGGCATTCTACCCTGCTGGCCAGAGGGGAGTGGCTGTGAGCGATAAAAGCAAAAGTGTCAGGGAAAACTGAAAGAGAGAAATGACTGAATTGATGGGCTTTAGATATGTTGAGGAGTTTGAGCGTCCCCTACTGATTAAAAAATAGATTACAAGATTTTAAAGTACCCTCACAGTTTCTACAAACCTGCACTACTCTTGGATCAGATTTTTGAAGGCTGATCATTATTCAAGCAAAAAAAAATATATATATATATATAAATATATAAAACTATTTGCCAGAAATCTTTTGCCCAGCTCTAATTATAAATATCCCTCTTCTTAACAATAATAAAATACATTCCTAGGATGAATTTCTTTCAGGAGCCAATGGACGCACAAAAGAAAATAAAACATTTTAGCCAACATCCTCTCACGGTACTCAGAGATGTCATTTAAAATGTTAAACAGGGTCTAACAGAAAGGAGTCCTGGTCTATGACTGGGGGCAGGGCCGGCTCTAGGATTTTTGCCGCCCCAAGCAAAAACAATTTTGGCTGTCCTCCCCCCCCCCCCGTTTTTTCTTACACCACCCCTGGCCCCGCCTCAACTCCGCCCCTTCCCCAAATCCCCAGCCCTGCCTCCTCCCCCTAGGCTCTCAAGCCTAGGAGGGAGGGGGAGAAGCAGCGCGCGCGCCATGGCCACTCGGAGTCTCCCCCTCCCTCCCAGGCCTCTCAAACCTGGGAGGGAGGGGGAGATCCCGAGCGGCCGCGGCGCGCGCAACAGCTGATTCGAGCGCCACTGCTCACCCTCCCTCCCAGGTTTGAGAGCCTGGGAGGGAGGGGGAGACTCCGAGTGGCCATGGCGCTCGCGCTGCTTCTCCCCCTCCCTCCCCGGTTTGAGAGCCTGGGAGGGAGGGGGAGA